AAGGGGTTGTGCTGAAATGCTGTGATCCAGGCTGACTGGGGCTTTGAGACTGTGTTCCATGAGGAGCTCTTGTTGGTTTCTGATTTGAGGTATGTTGTTGGTCATTTGGCATTCTAGACTTCTGGTTTGAACCAGCAGGATTGGAGGAGGGATCAAACATGCTAGAAAACCAGCCCTTTTCAGTGTTTTGTTGTTGCATGGTAGAAGTAGAGTAGGCTGAAACTGGATTGTGATGTTCTTGTGGATAATTCTGTGCTGTCGCAGAGGCATCTGTGTCTTCAGTGGATGAAAACCCCAAAAATCCAGTAACTACTTTACCAGATTTGGGATTGACTGGGGGTTGGAAAGGTAGTTTAGTCGTACCACTTGCTGAGTGGTTCCCTACTGGTTTGCCTGGCTGGGGGTTCTCGTTAGCTCGAAACACTGGATATACTGCCACAGGGGGAGTGCTTTGAGGCACAATAGGAATGGCTGGTGGAATCAGGGAACTCAGTGATTTCCTAAAAGGGCTAAAAAACCCAGTGTTTTGAGTCTGGAAGGTAGATCTTTGAGGTTCTGGAGCATTTTTATTTTGTTCTGAGCTCTCTGGATTTTGTTTCCAGCATAAATTCTCGTCATTTTCATGAGACGAACTTCCTAACCTGAGTGATTTCATATCATAATCATTGTCTCTCATTGACTGTTTACTTTGATAAATGGATTTATCAACCATAATTCTGTCTGGCTGAATATGTCCTTGGGAATATTTAGACTCTTCTTGCTTTGATTCAGCAGGGATACCACCTCCCCCACCTGAGAACAGCTTTAAAGGATTCAGTTTACCTAAGACCGAGTTTCCTGTCTCATTTTGGGGCTGAGTCAGGACCTCAGGTGAATGTTCTCCATTATTTCTTTGAGTTTTACCTCTTATGGCAGTTCCTGTTTCTTGAGCATCTGTTGTTTTGTTCTGTGGAGGCTGATAAGGCAGAGTGCTGAATGACTTTTTTGGAGAAGTTTCTACTGGAGATACAACTGCTACTGGAGCAGTGCTATTTGCCTTAGTGGGAATAAAAGACAGAAGCCGTGTTATTCCAGACTGCGCAGGTAGGGGAGATGATGGTTGGGGAGCTGAAGCAGGTTGTTTGAGGCCTCCTCCAACTTTGTCGGTAATGGAGCAAAACAATGAGCTCATTGCATTTTTTACACCTGAAATACCATGATCAGATTCAGCTTGGATTTGGGTTTCTCCTTTACAATCCTTTGAAACACTCTGCTCTTCTCCAAATGAATCCGTTCTATTACTACCTTGGGATGATAGCCTTGATTTGCTTGATTTAGGAAGGGATCCATATTTGCTAATTTCCTCTTCTTTTTCAGCAAGATATTCAGATACTGTTTCAACAAGACACTGCAGCTCATCCATCGGGTCAACATATTCATCGACCGGCTCCTCTACAGGGGAGAGTATTGCCTCAGAAGCCCATCCTCCTGTTTTAGATTTGCCACACTTCTTTTCCCGAAGCGTCTGGTCATAATCCGTGTAGCTCTCATACGAATGATGGTCCTTGCAAAGCCTTGCATTGTCTGAGTAGAAGTCTTCACCCACAAAGTCAATATAATGATCATCTTTATCAACGCCTGAAGGGTAGGGGGGATCCTTACCATTCTCAAATTCAAAGTCAAACCTTGCCCTCGGTCTACTATCATACCCTTTTTTATATGCTACATAATTCTCTAAAGTATTGTCCAGGTCGTTTTTGGCCCACATCCTTGTTTTGTAGAGAAGCCCGTCCTTGTGCGGCCTAAGGCAAGAAGAGGTTGTGAAATGCTCCTCTTCTTCCTGCATCTCTGCTACCCTTCGCAGAAACGGCTCCCCTTTTTTTTCCTGAAGCGGTGCAAAGTGAGATACAGAGCTCTCTTCTCGCTGCTTATCAAGAAGTCCTCTCGGATCTGTTATTCTTTTCTTTCTCCGCCTGTCAATTGTGTCATACCCTTCGGGATATGTGGCAGCCCGCACTGTTTTGTGACTAACTGGCTCTCTTGCCGGCTGTGGGTAAGGTCTGCCCATTCGAAAGATTACGCTGTCTTCCTCTTCATCTAAGAAGTCACTGAGCCTGGGCTTTGATCGTCCTTTGTATTTGTTTTCCCACTCTTCAAACCCCATCCCAGAATCTACAGGTATAATTCTAACTCTTCCCTTCTGGTTTAAAGAGCTTTTAAAGGTAAAAGGAACAGTTTTAAAATAAAACATGGGTTTGGGAACAGTAAGGAAGACAAAAGGAAAGCAAATGGAAAAAAGAAAAAATTGAAGACAAAAAAAAAAAAGTTAGACAGTATGAATATTAAGAAGAAATGTACACAGGAAAACTGCATGCAATGATATAGAAATATAGAAGCATATTCCACCATTGTTGTGTATTTTATAGGTTCGTTATTCTGTTTTATGTTGGAAGAGATTAGGAGTCACTCTGTTTGCAAGAGCCTAAACTAGTTTAGACGTTGTCAAATGTCCACAACAGCTGCCACATGTAACAGCTCCCTAAACCCTCTATTTCATTAGTCTCCATGGTGATGAAGCTAAACGACCAGCATATGACATTTAGTCCATAATTTTACAATTCCTAAAGAGAGCAGCCTGCATCAGCCGCTAACTTGCTCCCTGAGGGAGCGTCACAACGAGGCTTTCAGTTTACCAGATAATGAAAACCAAGAGCGAAAGCTTTTCAAACTACCAGAGTTTTAGCAACAGATTCTTAGAAGAAATGAAACAAAGACAAAGCTCTGGCTGCAGTCCCATTCTTTACCCCGGTTTTCTAAAGCAGAATTAGCCGGATCAGCTCGCTATCAGTGAGCACAGGCAGATTTGAGGCAATCTCAGAATTTAATTAACCAATAGCATTTCTATCATTTTCTCCCATACTCCATATCCTTTCCCTTTTGGAGCTAAATCTTTTATATGAAGCCAGACTGGCAGAAGGCGATGACTGCCTGATTTGTTCCACTGTTAAAGGTAGAAGTGCTAAATCTTAACCATTGCAGTGACTCTCTGTACTTTGGCAGCATTTCAATGGATTAGTATATCATTAAAAAGTTTGACGACTTTTATAGAAATGTTATGATCTACAAAACCACGGAAAAGGCTGCTGACTTTTGTTGAACAGACAATGATTGGTCACTACTATGCTGGCTGTTTCAGGTTACATCAGTGGAAAGTTGAGTGGAAGAAAAAAATTTTAATTCAAAAAGGGATAACATCCATGAGGAACGATCTGAAAGGAAAGCCTATTTAAGAGTTGGAGAAAGAAAGACGAGATGTGAACTATAGCTCAACTCAAGTATTTTAAGCCACACATTTAGGACTTTGACAACTGTCCAATTCACTGTGTTAAGCAACGCCTGAGGCAGAAGTGTCTTACAAAGGCTAGGGAATAAAATGACTGGATAATTGCAGAGCAGTTTAGGCATTTAAAGTCTGAAGAAAAACAAGAGCCAATCTGCTGGAGGTCCACTCAGAGGTTTTTACGGGTAGTGATAATTTGGGGAGCCCTGCCATCTGCTGGTGTTTATCCACTGGTTCGGCCAAGTCAGAAAAAAGGTTTAAACTGATATATAGAGGGAAATGAGTGACACCTGAGGGCTGGGATTGAACCTAAATTTCTTAACACCTCAGCAGTTATTAATTCATGTAAATGGAGCCCCAACAAAGTATTGGCACATAGGATGTAAAATACATAATCATCTTCAGAAAGTCTACATTTATTAATTTATCATGCTGATAATTTTAAGGCTGCTGATGTTTTTTTTCTCCTTCCACTCAACTTAACGTTCATGCAGTTTTTTTTATCAGCACTGACCTTCAGTAGTTTACTGTGGAGGGAATTTTGTTTCATTGGGTTTTGTTGCGAACACATTTTGTAAATAGAAAAAAAAAACTTTTAAAAAAGAAGTTTTAAGAGTATGATTTTATTTCAAATTAATTTTGTCTCCAAAATTATTTCTCATATTTTATTTTTTGCCAGTGGCATTTTTATTGAACATATTTTATGTTTTCCTTTTTTTAATTTTATGAATTGTGCTCTTTCAAATTTGAGTTTTACAGATTACTTTCTCTCTACTTCTAGCCCAGTGGTTCCCCAAGTGTGGGGCGCTATGATTCTGAGGGTAGGTCGTTAAAGGGGGGAGATTGCCGTTAAGGAGAGATTGTCTCCTGTAATACCTGAAACCTGTCTATAATTGTTAACGACCGACTCTTAACAATCATAGACAGGTTTCAGGTATTACAGGCTAACAATTGAACCAAACGACCCATTCATCGGTTACCATTTGCATGTTTCCAAGCGATACAAGCCCTCGTCTATATAAAGACTCAAACTCACTGCGGATCCAGACATTTGAATTGAGAAAGCTTCCTGGAGAGGTGGAGAAACGTCTTCAAATCTTGGAAACCAAGTCCAGTGGATATTTTTTTTAATTTTTACGGAAAGTTACTTTCAAAACTTTTTTTGTTTAAAACTTTTTACAACACTTTATTTCAGTAATGGAACATAATCCATATTAATCTTTCAGTTCAACGAGTTTCATGTTAGCAGTCTTTCCTGTGAAAAAAGGAATAAAATCCCATTTCTTCTAAATTAATATCCTTCAGGTTATCTTGTTTTAATTCTTTCAAGGACCAAAACTTTTTTTTTGGTCCTCTTCCAGTTGAAGCGATGTACAAGAAAATTAGAAATAAAGTATGCTTTACCTCCATCTCTATAAATAATCACTTTTTGAACTAAATTAATAAATTATGCAATAGGTCATAATCTAATTAAGATTTTAATCAAAAACGCAGAAATTTGACGTCATACAGAAAGTGAGCGATGATAGTATTTTTGTAATCATCATGCAAACCAATTGTTTTAAAATCATAGCACAGGACGTCATTTTTTTGTGATTTTCTCTCACATTCGAATGTCTAAAAGAATCCCTCGCTGACTGAATGGGTGTTTTTCAGGGACACAGTTTATACCCAGCTCTACCTGCTTCCTCTCTGGTCCCTGTAGTCCAGATCCAAACTGTGGACAGAGTCGGTGCAGCAGTCCGGCAGCTGCTGCGGACGAGGCCCCATGGGGAACTGGTGCATGGAGGAGTTGGGCTGGGCCGTGGTGTGGTACCGCGGCGGCAGACTGTTGCTGGTCTCACTGCGGTAGTCGCTGTCCCTGTCGTCCACGGCACTGTCCTGGTCATCCAAAGCTGCAACAGGACGATAAACGATAAGAGAGGAAGACTTTCAGAAGCTCCACGTGTCTATATGTGAGAAAAAAGTCAGGAAGTGTTTTAGTTGGACTTTTTTTAAATCAAGTCTGAGGTGATGAAACGGGCTCAGCAAAGGAAAGTGTTTGGGGATGCTGACAAGCACATCTGAAAAGGTATGCGGGTCCGGTTGCCACCATGCAACAACGAATCAAACAGCAGGATATGTCGCCGACAGGCGGCGTCTGCGTTCATCTGCAAAAACTTTAACCTGTTTTTCATTTATAATAGCAGGGATGAATAAGGAACTGGTTGTTAAACAAGATTCTTAGATGCAACAACACCCCCCAAAAAAAAAAAAGGATTTAGGAGCAAATCTTTAACAAAAATGTAAAACAAATAAATAATAAAGGAGCTGTAATGGGTTACCAGGTAGCAGCCTGATGTAATCTAGCAGATTTTAAGCAGGGTAAACAGAGACCAGCATCACTCTACACTAAGGACCCCGTTTTATTAGAGGCAACAAATGTTTTAACTCAGTGTCCTCAGATGACTGAAGATGAGCTGAAGCAGAGCTTTTATCAGACAATATTAGACCGAAACTACCCGAACTTCTTAGTTTTACAGTATTTCAATCATTCTTAAGGCTTAAAGCTGCTGTTTAGGAACTAAACAAAGAAATTTTTTTATTAGTTTGGCTTTTATTTATGAAAATATTATGCAAACTTAAACTGAACAGTGAAAATGTGCTCCTATTTCTAGGGATGAACCAAGAATTTAACTGGTGACCAAAATGAATGACCATGGACTGGCTGATGGGAAACTCTATTATATAAATTTTTAAATATTATAAAGTTTTGATTTCTTTAAAACAAGAAACAAAAACAAAAAAAACAAAAAAAAAAACTAATCTCTTTCCTCAGTTTGAAAAATAATGTATTTAGAATTCTAAGCACAGATTTGAACGGAATAACAAAATTAAAAGGGTGCATAAAATAGATTATCCTGACTTTTCTGTCCAGGATAATTACTAAACCATTAGAATAATAAAAAAACAAAATGACATGATAATAAACCAGCAGCTTGGTGGGGAATGAAAGGGTTAATGGGCATTAAGGAGGACAGCAAGGGATAATATTGGTTAGGCTGCAGAAATGTTAGAAAATGTAAGAAAACCTTATAGATTACATTTTAGGAATATTATGACATGCAAAAAGGGGTGAGGGTTGGCCAGGGGAAGAGGTCCATTAAGTTCTGTTACATACTCAGCGGCTCAGCCCATCCGAAATAGTTGCCTGGTGAAAGTGCAAACGTTAAAGGTGAGAGATAAGTCCGACGGGACGCGGGCCGTGTGCACAGAAATTCAGAGTCTCTGTGCTGAAAAAGTGGAAAACTCATAAAAGGCTCAGTAGATTCTGAATATCATTCACTAAATTAATTTGTGCAAAATATTTGGAATGTTTTAATACTGATATAAAAAAAATACAAAGTGCAGAAACAAGCAGGATAAGAAAGCTAAAACAAGAAGCAGAGTAGCTAAGGAAATGAGCTGGCTCCATCTAGAGGCAGAGAGGAGTACTGAGAGCAAGGACTCACAACACTGGGAGGGGGCACATTGCAGCGCGGCCCTCGGATTGTCCACATCCTGAAGGGGATACTACAAAGGAAAGCAGAAACAGAAACCAAACGTGAACGATGCAGCCAGTCTGTTCTTAAATGTTGTCTATATTTCTAGAGCTTTCCTGCAGTTTAAGGTGGAACAGATTACATTTGTTTCAAGTTCAGTTAAAAACCTGTAAGTCTGTTCACATTAATTTATTACTAATAATGTGACAATCATTGATAAAAAAAGGTTTTAATATAAAAAAAAACATTAGCATGTCAGGGAGAACATAGTTATAGAAAAGACGGCAAAACGTTCCTAAGCAAGCAAGCTATTCACAGAAAGGAAACATGTCGCTAGAAAGCTGAGCGGAAGGAAAAAGTGGTAACCATGTGCTGTGGATGGTTCTTTGGAAGCAATCACAACTGTTTTCCCTTTATCCAAGCACATCAATAGAAAATTGAGTGGAAGGAAAAAGTGTTTGCTACCTGGACAACCAATGCTGGAGACAGAGCTATTTTCACATTGTGTATTATTTGTTGATTCAACTTCTAACTTGGTCTACCAACTTTTCCTAATCACAGTAGCTTCATCTGGTCTGGTTCTGTTCGGCTGCGACTCCATACTGGAGGGAAATATAAGCTGAGATGCTGCCATTAACTAACCTGACTCCGCCAGATGGATTTGCTCCGCATATCCATCTGGAAACCTTCGGTTGAAGTAATTTTGGGAAGGGGCGAAAATACTGGTTAGCTGATTGGCCTATGTTGGT